ATAGCCATTCCGAGATATATTGCCATGCAACTTTCCACCGTTCCGTTTATTATGACACGCTCCATCATTGTCATATTGCTAGCATGATCATGTAGTTGACATCGTATTTATGGCATGGCCACCGTTCATAATTCTTTCATACATGTCACTCATGATTCATTGCATATCCCAGTACACCACCGGAGGCATTCATATAGAGTCATACTTTGTTCTAAGTATCGAGTTGTAATTATTGAGTTGTAAGAAAAATAAAAGTGTGATAATCATCATTATTAGAACATTATCCCAAGTGAGGAAAGGATGATGGAGACTATGCTTCCCCATAAGTCGGGATGAGACTCTGGACGAAAAATAAAAAAAAGGGGGCCAAAAAAAAGAAAGGCCCAAACAAAAAAAAGAGAAAAAGAGAGAAGGGACGATGCTACTATCCTTTTATCACACTTGTGCTTCAAAGTAGCATCAAGATCTTCATGATAGAGAGTCTCTCATTTTGTCACTTTCATATACTAGTGGGAATTTTTCATTATAGAACTTGGCTTGTATATTCCAATGATGGGCTTCCTCAAAATGCCCTAGGTCTTCGTGAGCAAGCAAGTTGGATGCACACCCACTTAGTTTCTTTTGTAGAGCTTTCATATACTTATAGCTCTAGTGCATCCGTTGCATGACAATTCCTACGCACTCACATTGATATCTATTGATGGGCATCTCCATAGCCCGTTAATACGCCTAGTTGATGTGAGACTATCTTTCCTCTTTTTTTCTTCTCCACAACCACCATTCTATTTCACATAGTGCTATATCCATGACTCACGCTCATGTATTGCGTGAAGATTGAAAAAGTTTTGAGAATGTCATAAGTACGAAACAATTGCTTGGCTTGTCATCGGGGTTGTGCATGATTTAAATATTTTATGTGGGGAAGATGGAGCATAGCCAGACTATATAATTTTGTAGGGATAACTTTCTTTGGCCATGTTATTTTAAGAAGACATGATTGCTTTGATTAGTATGCTTGAAGTATTATTATTTTTATGTCAATATGAACTTTTGTCTTGAATCTTTCGGATCTGAATATTCATATCACAATTAAGAAGATTTACATTGAAATTATGCCAAAGTATCACTCTGCATCAAAAAATCTTTTTTTATCATTTACCTACTCGAGGACGAGCAGGAATTAAGCTTGGGGATGCCTGATACGTCTCCAACGTATCTATAATTTTTTATTGCTCCATGCTACTTTATCTACTGTTTTGGACTATATTGGGCTTTATTTTCCACTTTTATATTATTTTTTGGACTAACCTATTAACCGGAGGCCCAGCCCAGAATTGTTGTTTTTTGCCTATTTCAGTGTTTCGGAGAAATGAAATATCAAACGGAGTCCAAATGGAATAAAACCTTTGGGAACGTGATTTTCTCACCGAACGTGATCCAGGAGACTTGGACCCCAACTCCAAAAAGTGCCAGAGGCGGTCACGAGGGTGGAGGGCGCGCCCCCTACCTCGTGGGCCCCCTGTTGCTCCACCGACGTACTCCTTCCTCCTATATATACCTACGTATCTCCGAACGATCAGACCAGGAGCCAAAAACCTAATTCCACCGTCGCAACCTTCTGTATCCACGAGATCCCATCTTGAGGCCTGTTCCGAAGCTCCGTCGGAGGGGGCATCCACCACGGAGGGCTTCTACATCAACACCATAGCCCCTCCGATGAAGTGTGAGTAGTTTACTTCAGACCTTCGGGTCCATAGCTAGTAGCTAGATGGCTTCTTCTCTCTTTTTGGATCTCAATATAATGTTCTCCCCCTCTCTTGTGGAGATCTATTCGATGTAATCTTCTTTTTGCGGTGTGTTTGTTGAGACCGATGAATTGTTGGTTTATGATCTAGTATTATCTATGAAAAATATTTGATTCTTCTCTGAATTCTTTTATGTATGATTGAGTTATCTTTGCAAGTCTCTTCGAATTATCCTGTTGGTTTGGCCAACTATATTGGTAGTTCTTGCAATGGGAGAAATGCTTAGCTTTGGGTTCGATCTTGCGGTGTCCTTACCCAGTGACAGAAAGGATTGCAAGGCACGTATTGTATTGTTGCCATCGAGGATAACAAGATGGGTTTTTTTATCATATTGCATGAATTTATCCCTCTACATCATGTCATCTTGCTTAAGGCGTTATTCTGTTTTTAACTTAATACTCTAGATGCATGCTGGATAGCGGTCGATGAGTGGAGTAATAATAGTAGATGCAGAATCGTTTCGATTTACTTGTCTTGAACGTGATGCCTATATACATGATCATTGTCTAGATATGCTCATAACTATGCTCAATTCTGTCAATTGCTCAACAGTAATTTGTTCACTCACCGTAGAATATCTATGCTCTTGAGAGAAGCCACTAGTGAAACCTATGGCCCCCGGGTCTATTCTCATCATATCAATCTCTATCGCTTTATTACTTGCTTTGTTTTTTTACTTTGCCTTTTACTTTTTACTTTTCATCTTTCTATCAAAAATACCAAAAAACTTATTTATCATCTCTATCAGATCTCACTCTCGTAAGTGACCGTGAAGGGATTGACAACCCCTAATAGCGTTGGTTGCGAGTAGCTATCGTTTTGTGCAGGTACGAGAGACTTGTGCGTGGTCTCCTACTGGATTGATACCTTGGTTCTCAAAAACCAAGGGAAATACTTACGCTACTTTGTTGCATCATCTTCTCCTTTTCGGGAAAATCCAACACAGTGCTTAAGAGGTAGCAAGGCGACACATCATGCTCAACCTTATGGCAAGAGACGACCCGCGGCAGAGTGACCCGTCCACGCTGGCGTCCTTCACCGTGTTGCTGTGTGGCTCCGGTTTTTGCCGGACGCTGCCTAGCGGATCCTCCGGCTACGCCATCTCCGGCCCTACCGGGACCAGGTGTCGTACGTCGACGAATCGTACACCCAGGGGTGTGCTTGCTTTGGAGATGCTCATCTTCGGGGACAGCACACCAGTGCAGGGCATCCGCATCGGCTGCGTCCACCGCAAGCGCGACCTATTCATCGGAGCGTCTAGGTTGCTCGGCTTGGGCTGGGGTCCCATGTCCCTCGTCTTGGCGGTATGTTGAGCTACTGTCTCGCGAGCCGATACGCCGACTCGGGTGTCAGGTGCCGTATGCTCAGCAGTGTCGATGCCATGCCGGTAGTCGCAATTTGCCCTACTCCCAGTACTCCACAACATGCAGGCGCCGAGTTTCTAGCCCGTGGTCACTGTTTTCCCTACTCCGCTGTGTGTAGGCGCCCAGTTTCTACAATGTTGCCCTGACGGGGCTGGTCTCGGCGGCGACAGGCTCCCAAGAGTTTCTACTATGCCAGCCTTATGGGGCTGGGCATCGGTGTAGAGAGGTTCTGGATGGCAAGGAGCACGGGGATCCCCCATATTTATAGGCCAAGGACCAGGAAGGCACGATCCTCCGAGACGTCGAGAAGGCACCACCAAGGATCAGGCTAGAAGGTGCGATTATTCTCCAAGACGTCGAGAAGGTACGGCCGAATACGAAAGAAGCAACACGTATCAAGCGGCAAGGATAACACGTCTACAATGCCTTACCACCTGACGACACCCATGCATTGCGAACACAGGGAAAAAAAGGGCAAACTACTTACACCAGCCAGCCACCGAGATACATGCACGGGATCAGTCACCACATGCAACGAAACTAAAAATAAAAATCGCAACCGCCTACATGCACGCACGTAGTCAGATCTACAACCGCATGCATGCACCCGGCGACACCCTAGGAATCAGCCTCGACAGATCGCATTGTTGACCAGAGACCAAATCAAAACAGAAAAACGCAACGCGCACCCAACGAAAAGCAAATCACGTTCAAAAAATTTAGGCTGGCAAACTAAACTCACAGTGAATTTCTACACCCCCACATCCCAAAGTAATACACGTGCCTGCTAGCCACACACTTTGAAGTCACTTTCACCCAAGTGGTGAAATATGGTGGAGAAATCGTCCCCTGCAATAGAGGCTTGGGTATTCTGAGAAATGTAATAGGCTAGACCTTATTATGTGCTACTCACGTTTTCGTCCCATAGCACCCGTTTTGATGGCGAGCGGGTGTGGTGGGTTTTCTGGTAGTGCTGGAACTCGCTCTACCTCTTTCCCTTCTCATGACTCTTCTGTTAGAACTGGTTGTATTTCTGTTCTTTACAATGAAAAAGGGTAAAGCCCGGTTCTAAAAAAAAGAAATACTAACTCCCAAATTGTACCATCAACACTTTGGAAAAAAGCACGAATGGATGAGATATCATGTACTCCTTCTGTCTTTGAAAAGAAGGCATATAAATTTTCTCTCAACTCAAACGGTACAAAATGTGACCAAAATTATAGAAAAACTTTAAACATATATAAAATACAAAATTAGTACCACTAAATACACAATGATATATTTTTATATTATAGATATTTGATATTGTAGTTGTGAATATTTTTCCTACAAACTTGGTCAAAAAATTTGAACCACTTGAATTGAGACAAAAGTTATAAGCCTATTCTCAACTTATAGTTTTCTCTAAATTTTCTATAAGGAACCTAATTTAGTAAGAGGGTTTTAAAAATATGAACAGGGTAAATTTGTGTATGGAAAGTGTAATATTGTTGACGTTTGATCCACATCTAAAAAGAACAACGACAAAATTTTCATAAGCACAAATAAATCGAAACCAAGGATTCCTTCCGCGTGCATAGCAATTCTATGAAGAGATCATATATAAACAGGCAAACTCTACTAGACTTATTTTTTGAACTTGCAAAAAACTCTTCTCGACAGTTTGCCTCTAAATTCGAAAGAAATACACATATACGTGAGGCCCGGCCCAGCCCACCGCACTCTTACCAAGGCCCAGCCGCTGTTTCCTGGACCTGTGCCCCCCTGTACCTCACTGCCGGACGCAGAAGCAGAAGCAGCAGCGCAGCCAGCAGCAAAGAATCGCGAGGAGATGGCGGCGGCGACGGCGACGGCGACGGTGCAAGCGCAGCCAGGACTCGACGCGCGCGAGTGGGACGAGGCGGCGTACCGGCGGGGCATCCTGCGGGAGCGCGACCTCTCCTGCCGCACCCTCTTCCGCGCCGTCTTCTACGACCAGCGCGACGAACCCGACCCGGACGTCCTCCTCGCCGCCGCCTCCAGCGACGGATCCCTCGCGTCCTTCTCGCTGTCCTCCTGCATCGCCTCCTCCGCCTCCGCCCACGCCGCCCCACAGGTTTCGCCTCCCCCCTCCCTCCCCCTTCTTCCCCCCACCCCTTCTCTATTCCGTGTGTACAAACGCCCCGTTCCCCTTGATTTGATTCAGCTGGCTGCCGCCGCGCTGGTCGACCCCGTCTGCATCGTCCAAGCGCACAGCGGCCCCGTCTACGACGCCAAGTTCTACAACGATCCGATTCAGCCGCTGCTCTTCAGGTAAAGGCTTCTTCTTTCTCACCAATTCCTCTCTGTTGGTGCCGTGGGATTGGCGGCCATGAGTGTTCTCAAGAAGGAAATTTTACAACGTGATACATTGCTTGTGACAGCTGCGGGGATGACGGCCACATCCGGGGTTGGAGATGGCACGAGATGCAGAGCTGCCTTCTGCCACTCTCTCTGCAAGGTAATGTACCCGAGCTCTCCTTCGTGGCTTGGTTTGCTAGATTAGTTGGAGTTGGGCTTAACTAGCTGTTCTTACATAGATGTACTTTTTTTTCGAGGGTACGCAAATTGCGTACCTTAGCTTTATAGAAGGAGAGAAATACAGCCATACAACCACATCTACCTCTCGCTGCGAACAGCGAGCGTAGCACAACTCCACACCCGACACAAGTAAGGAAACCACACACGACACACACTACGACAAACAGAGCCTACCCAAAACCGATATCCTCGCCGCGTCTCGACCGACGCCGGTGATCATCGAAGAACAGCAACTCCAGCTTCCCAGGAAGAGCCAGCGACGACCGTACATAGCGCCAGAGAAGAACGATTCGGGTAGCGGTGCACGCCGGAGGAGCGCAACATAGGGCCTCTTATCTCCAAGCACGAAGCTCCCAACAGAGAAACAGCGTCAGAAAGACGCCGCCATCGTGCCGATCCTACGGATCAAGGCTTTCGCCCCGGAGATGGTTGCCGATACAAGGCACCGTGAACAATGGCGCTACACTCGGCGACGCCTCCAGGAAGGGGAGTGACACCCACGGGTGCCATCGACGCCGGTCCGACCAAGGCCGAACAGAATTTTCATCCGTAGCATTGCACATTTCCACGCCACCAAGCTTCCGGCCAGCCCCGAAAGATGCCTCACACCGCCAACACTGCAGCCACTTGCAGTCGGAGCCACACATCACTGCCGAGGAAGCACGCCTCAAGCCACCACCTTCAGCACACTAGGAACCGCAGCAACCACCAATCGATGTGGGGACCAGATCCGTCGCGATGGCCTTCACCCGCACCTAGGGACTGCCACACAAATGGACCTGACACGCACCACCAGCCACACTTCGGCGCCAACTTCACCGAGGCATCACCGCCGGCACCTCACACGTAGGTGGTCGGGCGCCCGCTGCTCGCCAGGCCCTGCCTAGCCGAGCCTCGCAGTGCCGCCGCCTCCATGGCTGCGCATGCGCTGCCGCCTCCGACGAAATCAGTGCACCACCCACATCCACTCACCCGCTGCACCCCTCGTGTAGATCCAGGGGACCGCCGTCGAGCATCCCGCCGTGAACCAGCCTCCCGCAGCACCCGACCGGGAGCCATCCGACGCGCAAGATCTGGCCCGAGAGCCACGGATCCGCGCAAAGGAGGGCTGCCAGCCAGCCGACCCAACGCCGACCAAGGGAGCCACCACGGCGCCACAGGCCGGACAAGGCCGCGCCAAGCCGAGCAGGGCCGCGCCACGCCGCCCGGAGCAGGGCACCGCCGAACCCAGACGCCGCCGGCACGCCCCGTGCCACCCGGAGCAAGGCCGCGCCACTCCGCCCAGACGGGAGCCACGCACGCGTCGTGCCTCGCCAGAGCCACCCCCGCCCGCCGCCGGCACGCGAACCACGCCGGCGTGAGGGCCTCCGCGCCAGATCTGGCGTTCCGCGCCGCCTGGTGCCTGGAGAGGAGGGGAGAATCCCCGCCGCCGCCGACCCG